CCTTAATGTCTGTTATTTTTCGAAAATTACACAACATAATAAGCACACTCTAGAGAGACAGTTTAAAAACATGGTCAGCAACCTCACGTTCGAGCCTACTCCATATTGAGTAACACTTAACTTGGTATTACTTGTTCGTGTAACGCGTGAAGAAAAAGCGACGGAAAGAATTGTAAGGGTTATGTTTAGAGCGAGCTCGCATAAGGAAAACTTTCGATTCGGATGGATCGGACACACGTTGCACCTTACGCAATCCAAAGGAGAAAAACCTTACCTGTAATATCCGTCGTTCTCGGCCCTTTTAGCGTAGACGTTATTTTCTCTCTCTTTTTTTGTTTTGGCTGTTGTTAATCGCACGATTATCTACACTGCGAGCAACATAACCCTGTGATATCGATTTTAACGGTATCGATCTATTTTTCTCTTTATGCGCTGTTTTTCTATTTTTTTTTTCTTCTTCTTCGTATTTATTTATTTATTTATTTATATAATCATTCGTCAAGGCTGTAAAAACGCAAACGATATTTGAACGCAGATGTAGTCGTGCAATGGTTATTTCATAAACCAGCGAATGCAGCGAAGCAGGCGCCTCGCGCTTACTTATTCGATATAACGTAACGCGTTTGCGCGATTTACTTTAAACTCTTGATGGTTATTTTTTGCCTTACCGAAATAAAATATCGAGTCTGTAATTGTTGGAGTTGGTTTATCTTTGCCTTTATACTCATGATATCTGTAGCAGAAGACTTTGTGTAAAAATCTTATCCTTTCACGTGTATAATTGATGTATATGCTGTTTGTTGTAGAGAGAGAGAGAGAGAGAGAGAGAGAGAGAGAGAGAGAGAGTATAGTGATGTAATTACGAATTTGAAGAAGCAAAAATAAATATTCAAAAAATTTCAACATTGATATTATTAAGCAATCAGTCGAGATTATAGTGTAACTGAAAAATCATTGGAAGCCTAACGAGTTAAATTAAATTTATCTCAACAATGTTTTGATATCGCAAACACGATTTGTCAATGAGAGGATCAAATAATTCTCTCCACGATTCTTAATAATCCCTCGATTATCATTAACGATAGTTTTGTAGGGTCAGGATAAATATTGTAGAGGACAGCCATAACAATATTGTGCTCTTCTTTATTACGCGATAAATGTTTTTAAATTACTATGTTATTAATGATTTGCCAGGAATAAGGCGATCATAGGCAATATATAGCTGTGAAAACAAGGACTTCAGATCAACTCCCAAGAAACTATACAATATAGAATAAAAACGATTTCCGTTCTGTAAACCATCTACGTATAACGTCGGGATTTATCGTGAAAATAAAACTTGGCGCACATCTCGCCCACTTTAATATCACCAATACTCGTTTAAAAATGCCTCCATGCCAATATAGTCCTGCATTAATCGACAAAAAAAAAAACGTCCTCGACTATGGCGCTAAAAAAAACAATGTATATATATATCTATTCGTCGCGGCCAGTTTCTCTCCCTGAGCCATTTACGTCGAAGGTCAAATTCACACGTCGAAATAATTGCACCCTATACCTGCCCCTCCTAAAAACAAAGTCGATCACTTTCTCGTCGTAATTACGAGAGACAGCGTCGGCCATAAGAGTGCAACCTGATTCGCGGACATCGTTCGCGCGTCCTTCGAAAAACCTACGCATTTAAATGCGCGCCTCTGCAATGTGCCTTTTATTTTTTTGGCATTTGAGATAATTTTTATTTGGCTATAAATACTTGTAACTCGTCGTAACTCGCATTTTATTCGTTTTTAGTTGCATACCCGATGTGCCTTATCTACTTTATTCAGTCTGAAGATGTCCTTTACTCGACAGTTTTCATTCATTTTTTTTTTTGTCCCTACTCGATCGTTTTATACATTTTATAGTAGTACGGCTTAGTTTTACGGATGCGCGATAAATGATGTACGTACATATAATATTTTGCATGTGAAATCCTCTTTCATATGATGGAACATTTGTTCATGCAAAATTAAAGATAAATATATGCATAAGATTTTTGTATAAACAGACTTAGAGAAAATTGTATAGAAATCCTTCTAGCTTTATTATTATTTTTTTTATATAATTTATATATATATATATATATAAGAAATGCAACAAAACTTTCATATAAACTGACATTTATATTTTGTCTTCAAGGTTTTTTAAATAAAGTTTATTAACTTTACATATAATGAGTCTTTAGTATAACGTTGAAGCGTTTATTCGCCCACGTCTATATAGATATATAGATATTATATAAATAATCGTTACTTTTTGTACGTAAAAACATCTTTGTTTTATAATAATTCCAACTACTCATTATATTTAAATATTTATGTACAATTACATTTGCAGTCAAATGTTTTTAATGAAATCTCATGTCTTCTTCTGATTATACTAAATTAGTAAATCGTAATTAATAAATTTTACCTTAAAAAAAAAAAAAAATTTTATCTTGCATAATCCACGAATAAAACTAGAAATAATTGCATACCTATATTATTATTTTTATTATTTGTATTATCACATTGGTTAGATGATTTGAAGAGAAAACAAAAAAAATTCATTACTGATTTCAATTTAATGCAGCAGATACCATTTACCGTTTAGATTTAAATATAGATTTTGGCTTTAATTTCTTATTCAAAGTACATATCTTTAAATTAATTAAAATATTAAATAAATTTTAACTCATGACTGCTATTGATTTTAATTGTTAAAAATCAAAGAGAATAACACGAGAATATATAAGGAATCTTGATAAGTCACTTATTACAACATTCTTAAAAATATTTTTTATTTTTTTTTTTTTATTTTTTTTTGGCACATCTTATTATTAAGCTTCTCATTTTATTTATATTAATAATTATTAATTCATTTGCTGAAATAATAATTGATTTATTAATTCATTTGCTGAAATAATAATTGATTTATTAATAATAATTATTTCCAGTTTCTGTTTAGTGTTCGTTTTTCTCCAATTCAATTCATTATTTCACGTTGTATTTTGTAGAAATATTTTCCAAAGTTTTCACATAAAATCACAAATTGTTATTATTTTTATCGCACTTTTTTAAAATTCATTGCTATTTTTAAATGTTACTTATTATATGAGCTATTGTTTACAATACTTCCTTACAATTATATTAAACAGTTTAAGCTATATTGTAACATTATTCGACGTCTACTTGAATTATTTCACTTTTTCATGCATGACTTGGATAAACATTTAATGACTAAGAGGTTTTTCCATCCTTTAATTTCTAATCGTCGAATTTGTGTCAAATCATCGAATGAAATGAAGAGTTGTAGCGTTAGTTTAACTTTTTTTTTTTTTTTTTTTTTTACGATATTTATTCAAAGAGCAGTGAGTGCTATTGTACATTATTAGTTGATTCTGTGTATACAATTTTTATTTGGAAAGGGTCGAACAGTGTCTTATTGGCTTTCATGATTCCTACAATGTTTTTAGTAAAAAGAGCTTAACACTTCTCCATCGGCGATAAAGTATACGACAAAGTACAGGTAGTTGGCTATGAATTTATAATATTTCTTAATTGCCTTTGGCGTTTGACGTCTGTCGGAAAAAGCACATCTAACAGTTCGAGACGACTTTGCAGCTTATAAATGACGTGTAAAACGTCTTAGACTATATTTCTCACAATATACATGCAACTTGCATTACCCAACCAATCAGTTTATCCGCTGTATTGAGGTGTGTCTGGAAATGTCGACTTAAAGCGATCCCAACGTACGTGCCGAGATTCCCTTGTTGTCTGAGAAAAGATACGCCGTTACGTCCGTAATAAGGGAAAGGGGACGGCTAGACAATGGCCGAGTCAGTCCTTCTTTAATACATCGGTCGCACTCCGCATCCACCTATCGACGACGCCTTCCTCGATAAAACAGACCGAGGATGGGGAAGAAGGAAGAGGAGATTTCGCCTCCCAAATAGAACGTCCAACGTCATTTTTCCGCGACCGCGATAGATATTATTATGCATCGCGTTTTGACACGGAGGCCGCGTTTTCTCTTACTTTCCTACTTTGACGCTTGATTAATCGCCGGCCACGACTTGTCGGAATAACAACCCGTTAGTTTAAGCTCGGCTCCTCGTTCCGTCTTGCTTTACAATCAAGTCAAACGACACTTCGTACTGTTGTAAAGATGCTTATGAGAAACTGGAAAAATGACTACCGACATCCGTTTGTAGACGATGGAAGATTTAAGATGTCGAGGGGTATCTCCTTCCACTGAATATCTATCCTTCGTAAGTGCGGTAAAACTATATTTAACCGATTAAAGTAGCTGCATCAATGGGCTTGACATCATTTTTAACTTCATCTATTGTCAAAATATTTTCCACAATTCATTCGTCATCCGTAAAAATGTTTCCCATAAAATGCGAACGCGTCGTTACACAAGTTTTGTAATTAATAATTGTTGGAAAGAAGCTTGGAGATTAATTGAGCTGAATAATTACTTATGAGCTAAATACGAATCGGACATTTTCACCGAATTCCAGATATCAAATATCAAATGCTTTGTTAAAAGTTCTCGAGTAATATTTACCGATTCTTAGTTGCGCAGGAATTTTAAGCAATGCTGTAACGAATAATACATCGATCGAGCAAATTTAATTGCCAATGACTAACGCATAATCTAACCAACTTATGTAGTACATATATATATATATATATATATATATATATATATATATTCTATAAGCATTTTAATTCCTAGTAAATATATTTCATTGCACGACTCCAGTATTAGAACACTACAATTAATTTTAATAACGATATAAATATCTTATAGCTCTTTGTTAAATCTTGAGTTGTGAATCCACTGTAATCTTGTAAATCGATTGGAAAGTGAAATTTAATGCACAGCGCAGGAATACAAGTTCATTATGCTTTATGACAATCGTGAATACGTAAAAGGGATGTCAAGGGAGAGCAATGCAATGCTAGGATAAGATGTCTTTTGTAAGAAACGATATTACTCTGTTCAAAAGTCAACATTGGCATTGATTGAATGCGACTGAAGTGATACGGATATCACGTATCGCAAGGAAAATTTTTTTTTTTTTGCATTGCATTGCATATACGGTGCAGTGATTCCATAAATAATTTATTGATATTGTATTTCTTATAGTAACGCAGTTTTTGTATGATTTAGTGCGGACAGTGGCGTTATGCTCGAGCAAATGATAATGTTACATTGTCATTTGTAGAGAAAAATATGTAAAGCTGATTTTGACTTTAAGAATAAGATCACATTCACGACATCAATTATATTACGTTTTCTGTTTCGAATAAAGATTTACGATTTTAAAGTAATACCTAATATTTTGATATTTTGTTATTGAAATTGTATTATTTAGCATTCGATAAACAATTGCATTACTATGTGATATAAGTTTTAAATATTATTCCAAATGTAATCAATTACAAAAATCATCTAAATTCAATCATTTTATGAGAATTATATTATGTCGAATAAAAAATATTATTAAGTAGGTTTTATTATGAATAAAAATTTTAGTTTTTACTATATGATATCGCACTTAGCGGTGGTAAACTTTCAAATAATTTCATTATAATCGTTTAAATTTAATTATACTTATCGTTTAAGTATTAATTATAAAAATCTTTAAAAATTAAATACATAGGTATCGAAAAAAAAAGATTTTTCCATTTGTCGATTAAACATATCGATTGTAGATAGTAATTTAATAAGTTGTAAATAAATCTAAATAAGTATGCACTAATTATAATTATTGTTTTATTATAAGTGCATTGCCCGTATTTTACAAATACCAGACAGATTGATTGGATAAAACGAAGATAATTCAACCGAAAGTATTTATCGTGTTCAAAGTCGAATGAAAAAAAAAATTGCTTCTAGAAAGTGTTGGCTAGAAAGCATAATCGACTATTTTACAACTATATTAAGCTCATAACTATCTAAATTGTTTGAATTAATGAATGAAATTTTACATTTGTTATTCGTTATATATATATATATATATCTGCTATTTATTAGTAGCTTTTAATAGGACAAACGATCATATTATGAATTGTTTAATTACTAATAACAATTGAAAAACATAATCGAGGTAGAGCAGTTTATTACAAAAGTCTAGAAGAACTTTCTAATTAATTAATTCAAGCATAAACACATCTATTTTGATGAATATCCATTAAACTTTAATTAGTGTTTATAGAGCTTTATCAGTTAGAACGAATCGTATGCTGAAAATTGATTTATAACGCCAATAAAATATAAAGGTTAAAGTAATAATTTAGATATTGGAGTTAAACATATTATAAATATGTATCGCAATATGAAAAACTATAAACTTACAATAATTACGTGAAAAATAATAATAATAATAATAATAATAATAATAATAATAATACGTTATAACCTTATAAAATTAGTCGCAATAAAAGATTAAATGTATAAATAATATTAATTCTAGTGAAAATTTATTGTTGCATAACTAAAGTTAAATTATTCGATCTATTAGTGTAAATTTACTAACTATTAGTCATTTTTATGATGAATTCCGATGTGGGATTGACGATTGATTAGCAAAAAAAAGAAAAAAAAATTGAAAACCGTAATTAATGAAGTAATATCATGTTTTAAAGAGGTTTTTCTATAACAATATTTTATAATACGAAACGAATGCTTTAGTAATTTATCATTTATTTGACTTTGTAATATAAGTAAGCCTAATGAAATGATCTATAGGTATTGTTCTATTGACTATAAATTTATATTTTGTAAGAAGAAAATTAGATAGATGAAAAATTAATAATTAATATAAATTTTTTGCATACAATAAATGTGATTGTAATTCTGAATGTATTACTAATACACAAATAATATGCGATATTTAGTGACTTGTTTTGGGAAATTCTTATTTGATAACAATATTACATTTATAAATGAAACTTCGAAATTAAAAATTATTATTAAAGGTATGAATCAACTGAAACGAATATAGGGCACGAATTTAATCGCATTTGCTGAAAATGCAGAAATAGTGTTAAATTTACTATAAAAACAAAACAAACAAACAAACAAAAAAAAAAAAAAAAAGGGTAATGATAAACGTAAAAGAAGGAATTTTCTTTGTTAATCTTTCTAATTTTCAACTAAGAAATTTCAGATCTAAAATTTAAATTAAAAATTTAAATTTATTGCATATACTTCTATATATTTAAGAAGATCATAAAAGTACGCAATGATGTATTGGTTTTCCTTTCCTCCTCTTTATCCACATCATAAAACAGCAGCAGGAAAGGTCACGACTTCGTAATTATAAGTGCACTCGTTTGATTGACGATCTATAGTTGATCAAATAAATTGATACCAACTCCTCGGTGTCGTAATGTTTTTTTATGGACAATAATAGATGAGAGAAATCGAGCATTTTAAGCTGTAATTCTTCCGCACATCTCTTTGTTATTAAAAGTTTGTGTTTCATAAAATTTGATTAACACTCCTGTTTACTACAATGTAATAAGTCATTTCTGTATTTCTGCATTCATTTTCGTTTCATTTTCCTTTATCTCTAACTGAATATATTATACATAATTTGTTACAAGTAGTACAATACAGTATTACAAGAATTGATTTTCTGTAAAATAAAAATTGTAAAATTTTTTGGATGTTTAAATATGTATTGGAAAAAAAAAAATATATATATATATATATATATATATATATATATATATATATATAATGAGAAAGATAAGTTTAAATCATTTAAATATAGAATTATCATTGACAATATGTTTTTTCAACGGATTCAGTAATTATACAAGAACGGTAATACAGGGTACATTAATACTGTTATTTTATCGTTTAATCGTACGTTTAATTTATTATATATAATAAACAATGTTAAACCTGAAAATTAGTTTCTTAAACAACAGCTTTTAAAATAATAAATAGGAAAAAAAGAATATTAAAAATTATCTGTGATAAACATATGTGATCTAATAGTTTAAGTAATTATTATAACTTCATTCTATACTTGTATTTAGTTTTTTTTTTAATATCTAATTATCATTAAACTAATATTATAAAATTTTTTTTTTTTTAATAATTAGATCGTTACAGATTGTAAATTATTTTACGATAATTTATAGCGTTTGTTTGCGATACAAGAACAAATCATTCAATTCATAAGATTTCTTTATATTTAACGAGTTTAAATAGATGACTCACTGCACTTACGATTATTATAACAAAATTTGCATCCTCTACAACATTTAATTATCTTATTATCTGTAACAGTAAATTGACAGAGAAAATTTGTGTAGTAATTGTAACGTCGCATTAACACTAGTGTCATCATCATCAAATCATATAATATTATGGTAAAATAAATTATAAATATCTTGCTTTCTTTATATTCGAACAGATTGTTGCTTCATAACATACAAAATATTTAATAATATAACTTATTAATCATAAATGTTTACAATTAAAACATAGATTTCAATTTGGATAATTTTTATGTAAAATTATTCTCAAGAATTTTTAACTCAGTTCGTGCGATTTCCCATTGGAACTGAAATCATTATGCACACAATTTTGCAGAAATAATATAACCATTATTGAATAAGACTTGATGAACTTAGTAAGCTAATGTGGTGAAACGTAAGGACCTTGAGATTAGTATAGAATGGGGCTTGAGCCGTTCTTGCGAAATATTTTTATCGTATAATACAATGTGCAGCAGCCTAACGAGAATTCGACGAGGATGTCGGCCAGGTATTATAAACCTAATGACAAACTACATCATTTGGCATGAAATGGACCAATTGTCGGGGAAACGGTTTTAAATTGTCACCTCAACCTATCGTTTTAAACGTCGCGCGCTATGCAACTATTCAACATTCGCGAATTGCCCGCTTGTATGTAGAAATTGTCGATTTGCACTCGTACTTTATGTGTTTGCTGTCAGCGTCTGATACGTGATTTGCCGAGTCGAGTGGCAAAGTCCCGAGGAACTCGAAAGTACTCACTCGGTATTAAGTAAAAATTCCTTAACGCGTTGAGCAATGAGTTAAGAAAGCTTGATTCGCAGTTTACACACAAGTACACTGTACACATATCCCTTAATTATCATTTGATTCATATATGAATAACACTAAGTCGAATCGATATTTTTGTTCGGCCTTTAATTAAGCATTTCGAATTTTCTCGTCCATCTTGTCGAATTAGTACGCACAGACGAAACTTTATTTCAAAATTTTATTTCAATAATATTTTATGTCGTGGGGTCATCGTACGCTCGCGTACGCCCGCAATTTCAATGTTTTCGCGAGTTTCAAGCTAAGTTGTATATTGTAAATGAACTTTATTATCAATGTTGCTGAGTCGTGAAGGAAGGGAGAAGGTGGGCGAGAAAGAAAATTTTAACGTTCCTTACCTACTAACATTTCGACACTTCGCCCACTTTCGAATGCTATACCGATCCAAATACTCGTGTAGTGTCCAAATAGCTTTTATTACACGTCGTATAGAATTTTCTAGTCTTCCATGCACGCGATCATAATTAATCGTGAAAATTTTAGAGAACGTATCGTTGACTCTCCCCTATGTACGGTTAATCGATAAGGAAATGTTGCTCACGAAATATCTGCCAAATTCGCTTTCAATTCTATTTTACGCATTTATGTAACAGTTTTAGAAATTATGAATCGCCTTATGTTTGCATTTTTACTTAACGGGTGTTTGAACGGTCACCTTTATTCCACCATAACCACTTTATTATTACCGAAACTTAATCAACAATTAAGCGGCTTATTTTTCATCTAAAATCTCTTTCATACGATTAATTATGATGAAATTTATCTACACAATCGTGGTGAAGTGCCGAATGATGATTTCGAATATTTTAATACAACATCTATAACTCCTATACAGACATATTTAATGCAATCACTGATTAAAATAATGAAATTACATCAACAATGTCGACGTTTTTCGAATAAATAATGAAATTATTGTTCGACTATAGCAGTTTATCAACTTTTGAATAGTATAATGAAAAGTTTGCAATTACCTTCATCTTCTATTTCACACACACAAACACACACACACACGCGCGCGCACGCACACGCACACGCATATATCTAAAAAATACATGAAGTTTTTATGCAATATTTTAATGTTAGTAGTCAGAAGGAATATAATATTACGGAATAGTTCTCCAAGTCCAATAATAAAATGTACTCGATGTTACGGAAACGCCGTCTACATGAATGTAGAATCTATTTTCCATTCAACGTTATGCTCAATCTCAATAAATTGTAATTATTTACGAATACGATTATTCATACGCTCTTTGAGTTTGTAAATGCCCATGAAACGTGTGCGAGTCGAGCGAAATTGATCACATTGCTAGGCTGCACGGGGCTCGGCCTCTTTTTACTGAACGGACATGAGCCAGTTCATGTTCGCCGTAGTTGCACATCTGGATCGCTAATTGTTTCCTAGACCAAGAAGGAGTTTTGTAATGTTTTTTGTTTTGTTTTGTTTTGTTTTGTTTTTTTTTTGTGTTTTGTTTTTTTTTTTTTTTTTTTAATTATCCATTGTATATTGGTTGTATGTTGGTCAAGAGGAGCAGCAATGTATACTTGAGCTCGAGCTTGAATGGGATAATACTGTCATGGAATTAATTGTAAGGAATGTTATTTTGCAATTTGTATAAATATTAAAATTAAAATTACTCAATTAGTTGTATCTGGTCTTACTGTCGGTTTGCCGGTGCAACGAAGCTCATTGACCATCATTAACAATATTTTACCTACGAATAAAACATCTAAATCATGTTTTTGGTCAGCAATGTTCATTAAGAAGAAAAGAAACGGGGATTTTAATATAATTTGCAGTAAAGAATTCAAATTTATTTATTCTATTTGAGAATGTTGCCGATAAGCTTGCCGATTATTAAATAGAATGTTATTTAAAAAGTAATAAGGCAAATAATCAAAATTAAAATCTAATTAATTTGACAATTGAATCATAGCTGTTTATAATGATATTCAAGATATTTGGCAAATGATGGATTTCATTGGTGTTTAAGAGATTTGAAAAACTCTTGCATACTCGAATGCAAATCGATTAGAAATACAAAAACAATAAAATCACTATGAATTAAAACTATTTACATTCCAAATAATGATATTTAAATTATATATTATTTATAGAAACAACAAACTTTTTAGTTTTTACGAATAGAATTATGAAATCCCGTTGTAAGATGCTTAATATTATAAATCATAAAAAAAATTCTTCTTTGTCATGGCATATTTATGAGGCAGTTGGAATTGGAAAAAATAGCTTTAAATTAAAAAAAAAAAAAATCTTTCATGATAAATTATCGATTATTAAATCGTCGAGGATACAATCTAAATCTCGTTGAAGGAAGTACCTGTCCATCTTTTGCTAAATATTTTCTTGTTTCTTTGACACACCAACACACACACACGCGCGCGCGCGCGCGCACACACACATGAATGTATGAAAATCGTGCCAGAACGATATTCGACCTATTTAAATTTAAGGAAGGTCATGTTCTACAAAGGTCTAATCTACCAGAGTCTTAGGACAAAAAATCTTGTCGTAGTAAAGTAGTAAAAGTCTCTCAAGCATAACTTTGAAACTAAAATAATATAATAGATTATCATGAACTTTTTCACTTAAATTATACTCTACCGTTTTTACTCAGAATACATTAATATTAATTTGAGACGTAAGTTCGATTGCAAACTAAATTTTTATATGAAATATAAAATGTATGAACAATAAAGAAGAAAATGTAATATATAATAATTATGATCATTCGGACATTATTCAAGGCATTAGAAAAATTATTTCGACCGTTTATTTCTATGTAATTGCCAAACTCGCTATTATATTATTAAAGTAAGAATTAAGTTTATAACAATCGAGAGTTATCGGATTAAGTATTGTTTGTAATGTTTGGCTTGTTTTGTTAGCGAAAGAAACGAAACGAATGTTTTAATTAATTCAAAATATTTATACAAATGTCACTGCTCTATATATATATATATATATATATATATTAAATAATTTACATCTTAATAAATATTTAATTTCTTAATTAAAATATACCTAATTAACATACGTATGTATTTATAAAATATTTATATGTATATATACGTACACGTATCCCATACACCATTGGTCAGATAAATTTAATGGTTATATTGAGATTCTTGTACCTTAATATAATGTCATGAGTATTACTTCACATAAAACATACGTTTTAATGAATAAACGTTCACTTCATATATTTATGCACTTGTTTAGGTTATTACAATTTTATTGACTTGTCAAGCATACGGATTAACATACACGTACGCACATTGATTTTCTTTATATTATATAATGGCCGACTATATTTTAATGCTTTTAATCTTATTGATATTAAACTCTGCAAATTTGAAGTTATTTTTATTTCTAATCAAAAGATTTTTTCCCTCAATTAGTTTCATCCCAATTGAATAAACACGATTGTTTAAAGAGTAATTGTTTTTGAACTATACATTGTTTTACTATTTTGTAATATATATATATATATATATATATATATATATATATATATATATATATATAAATATATGTGAGCGGTGATGGGTGGTGGGCGAAGGGAAGGTCTCGATGTTCCAAACAATTTCATTCAACATTATTTCAAAATAGAATCTTTTATATTACGAATTAAGATATTCCGATAAAACATTCGATCAAGTCGTCATACACTACTCGGCTTATGAATTATTCAGCGGCTCAAAAGCCACGTCTATAAATTACGAGAGCCTTATTATTTTCGCGAATTCCTTCTAAATCGCTTTTTAATTTACCACGCATAATTTCCAAGCAGTCGGAAACTTTAGATAAGCCTCTTATGCCAGCAACGGAAATCCACATTTCCGACATTTCTCGCGGCTGTCCATAACCGTAGGCACCGAGACTGTCGCCCGTCGCTAAAGCCGAGCCTCCCCACCCCACCCTTCGCCACCTTAATAGTAATATCACCAACGTAATGAGCCGACAATAAGGAATTATTTGTTCTTGTGTTCCAGTGCGGCAGTGGATCTGCGGAGGGCGTGGTGAGCGTGAACGGGGTCGTCGGTGGCATGGACTGCATGCCCCTGCGACCCGGGCCGTTCCACTATCTGATAAGCGAGCAGGCCAAGTCGTTGGTCGCCCTACAGGAGCTGCAGAATGAGGTCGGCGCCCTACTCGAGTTCCGGGACCTCGTCATCGAAACGTTCCCAAACCTCCGGGACAAGATGGCGGTCACGGCCGGGGCCTCGACTGCTACGGGCGCCTCCTCCCCTGGCAACGGCACAGCATCCGTCCTCATGTCGTCGAGCCAGAGTTCCCATATACCGCTGCCTCTCTCCAGTCAAAGGTTTGTCGATTCTCCTCAACAACGCCTTGATCTACCGACCCACGTTCTTTCACACCCTCGTACAATTCCACACACAAACGCGCACTCCCGCCTTCTCGTCCTTTCATCTCCGTTACTTGCTTTCGAATCTCAAGTATTTTTTATATACTTGGAATTTATAAATATTTATATATTTTACATTATTCAACATTATATACTATTAGAAAGCCTTCGCAGGTATCCGCGTAATATGGAAGGAAGAAGAAGAAAACAATAAATCCAGAGCACAGTAGGAAGAATTGATAACAGCTTTTAATAAAAAAACAAGTACTTTTCATAAAAAAAAAAAAAAAAAAAAAAAAAAAAAAAACAATCAAAAATTAATTGTTTATAAGATATATTGTCGTTAATCATTTTTGGGAATATATTATTTCTATTCGTATTCAATGGATATTTCAGTAAAAGACGTGTAATGTCAAATATGAAAAATCGTCACATTAGTTAGACGTATCAAGAAGATTAATGGATCCCACATTGCTGTATCTTAACAATTGTATTTCTCAAGATATATCGAGTGACAAAGTGATTCAATACGGAAATAATAAATATTTGGGCTTCGATCGCAATCTTCTATATATCTAATTTCTTCGGATAATAAAAACTAATGCCATGTATTTGTCATTCAGGAATGTAATCGACAAGTTTTCTTAATGCATAATAGGATAATCGCTATATTATAGTGTAAGATAATCTTAATATTTTGTTGTAATTTTTCTTAGTCATTCAATTTCGCTTTATCATGCATACTATAAATTACAATAGAATTAATTGGTTTAAATCAAACTAATAATTAAGATGAAAATCATAATATTCTTCCATTGTTGTCATATTAAGCGAAATGTGCATAAATAAATGCATTCTTTGAAGGGAAAACAAAAATAATTTGTTGTTTATCTGCTTTTCATGATATATTGAATTATGTATTACAAGTTTTAAAATATTTGATTGTAAAAGTTCAATTTCAACGTACTTTCAAGAAGGAAATTAAAATGCTTGGAAAAATTAAATGAATCCGTGGCGTATGCATCGACTACCGAAGCGTCTACGTCTACATTTTATAAAAAAATTTTTTATAAACTAAACTCCTGTAGCGACTAAACATTATTGATAAAACAGAGCCAGAACAAATTACTAAACCGATGAGTCTTATCTCACTCCATATAAATAACCCATAAAAATCCAAGCTCTTAAATATCGAATTATTTAATTATCTCCAAGATGTGGAGTATCGTATATCCGAGTCCTTTCCTCACAGTTTGTTGTCGCGCAAGCTCGCGCCCAATCTCGGGCGTCGACAGGCTTATGATTAATCAAGTACATTTGTCGCACAGCCCGTCGTCGCGGCGGATGGGAGAGTGGGAACCCGGTAAGGTGAGGCGGCGCGTGGCGCAGTCGCGCGAGAACGAGTCCTCGTCGTCGTCGCTGCCCAGGAGCCGGAGCAACTCCCATAGCGGCGGCAACAAGCACAGCGCCACTGTACAGGATTCGGGATTCAGCACCGAGACCTCCTCCAAGGACAGTGCCTCAACGGCGATACCGAGAGCTCAGAGCCCGAGCGGTCGGCCGGTACTCGACGAGGCCGAGGACGAGCTCTGGAATCTCCTCGATGTCATACACAGAAAAGGCGTGAGACTCAGAGAGGAGGTGGAAAGCCTTCAAGGTGAGCATCTCCACATTTCACCTCTACTTTCTAGATATTCTAATGGGCAACCACCAGGCCTCACTACCCGACTCCATACCTTCCTAGTGCTTTAGCATCTTTAATCCAGCTTCCTACCCCCTCACCCCCGTGCTTCAGCCTATCCATTGCTTCCACGCCTCCTCTTCGCGTGATCTACGCATTTCCTCTTTTATGATTATCGTTTTTTTTTTTTTTTTTTTTTTCTTACGACAACCTTCCTTATCATATACAGGGAACTTGTACGATACAGGGAAATACGGTAAATAAATGTTAGCTATCAGTTACTCCTTATCATATACAGGGAACTTGTACGATACAGGGAAATACGGTAAATAAATGTTAGCTATCAGTTACTATTCATTACCCTTATGAAGCGTAAAGTATCTTGAATAGCTTTAACTAATCATGTTCATTTCGCCCAACTATATATTTTTAAAACAAATTCTTATCAGAGTCAGAGTCAATGTATATAGTTTGTATAAATAGGGACTTGTACGTGTCTCTCGTTGCACGCACGATATTTTCGAGAGATCGAGTCGATAATAAAATAGAAAATTTTCGCATAATTTATAATTATTATATATATATATCCTTAGACGATAGTGTAATTTCTTAATAGCTATTGATATTACTTGTTTTTTTTTTTTTAAAGGCTCTCTGTTTGTGCACAATGAATAAGGGCACAATAAAATTATTGGTTAAGCTTGTTTCGGAGATATTCAGAGAAATGATTGGCTTATAGAAAATACGCAACTTTTTCGAATAGTTCGATAATAATATCATAATTTGTGAAATGGTAAGATTGTATTCGATTAAAAAGTTTCGGCTTCAATGATATTAATATCTAACTATCTATATTCGATAGTTTTTCGCTAAGCAAGAACGCGTTTCTCATTTCAGTTTAAGCAATTTGAAATACAACATTTTTTAACCTATTGAAATACATTATATTATACATTATTTTAATTAAAATGCTACGTTATTGCAAACTAATAATTACCAGTAGGTGTAATTATAATGATTCATAACAAGTGAAAGAGAGAGATAGATAGATAGATAGATAGAGAGTGATAGAGAGAGAGAGAGAGAGAGAGAGAGAGAGAGAATGAACGAATGAACCATAAAAATAGAAAATTATTAATCTTTCACCAACACTTATTTCAATTTAATCTTTTACTTTAATTGCTTGGTAAGAATTGAAGAAGAAAAAAAGAATTATCCGACTTTTAAAACACTTAATTATATTAAACTACTTACATTAATGTTATAAATTAGAAATTTTAATTCAACGTAGAGGTAGTTTGCTAATAAAGAAATTGTTTCGGAATAGACGTATGATAATAATTTCTAATTTCGTATTAACATAGTCACGTACAATTGACAAAGAACTTCACTTAATTAAATTTCTGCACTCATTTTTTACAAAATTATCAGCCTTCTAGACTAGCGATACATGAATTACACGTTTTTGCTAATTTGGGCTCAAAGTAAACTTTTTTTTATCGACAGTTAAGTACCTTAAGTTAACTTAAGACAATAAGTACCTTTGCCTATATATATATATATATATATATATATATTATGATAAGAGACCCTTGAGATTTTGCCAACCGCGTAGTTTGCGCAAGTAACAAGCAGCAACATTATGACTAGTAAATTATTGTGAAAATGTAATCCGCTGCTTTTTTCCCGAATCGTTTATCGAATCGTTTGTACATCGCAGGCCGTACACGAGTTTACAATTAATACCAAACGTGTTTCAAAATTCTTTTTTGTGTAGTTCATTATCGAGGGCAGATTCGAGGTAACAATTTTCATCAATTACTAGTTGCTTATCTTAAGAGAAGTGAAATGAATGTCCTGAGAAACATTTGTCCATCTTCGTGTTGCATTTTTTACGAGAAAGCAAGTGCAGTTGATAAGAAATTTTTTTTACAAAGGATTTTATAATGCTAAATTGTCTGGGAATTTCTCCCTACGACTGATGAAGATGATAATCTGTGAGACAGAGCATAAGCAATTGAAAATATGAGAAATACATGATTTGGTTAGTCGTGTGCGGCACCCTTTTGCCTAATTCAATTAATTCCGAAGAAGGAGAAGGCGGCGAGGCGCGCCTTTTATTGCCTAATTGCCTATCTCTACTACGGCAAAAGCACAACAATGGGAAAAGGACGGCGGGTGATTGAGAGGGGGGTTGGGGGTGGTGGTGGTGGTAGAGTCTCTCAATTCCGCCGGGGTCAACTGATCTTGTGTATCTGGTGCAACAGGTCGGCTGGAAAGCGTGGCGCCGGAGGAACTGGAGGTGCCGAGCGACATCCTAGATGCGGTGCGCAATGTCAGCCGGCACTCGGAGCGGCTCGAGGACGAGCTCCTTCTCGAGGGTGAATCTGCCACTCAGGTGGTCCACCTCCAGCGGGAGAAGCTTCAGCTGCTGGACAAAGTGGCGGAGCTCGAGGCCGAGACGATATCGAGCAGGGCGCGTGCCCAGGAGCTGCAGTCCGAGCTCGCGGCTCTCTCGGCCATCAGGAGCGACCTCGAGGCAAGGCTGCGAGGGGCCCCCGAAGCCGGGGAGGACGGCATCCTCGCGCCGGGCGCACACAGGATACAGCCGATTGAGCCGACGGCGCCGACGAACCTCCAATCACCGAGGGGCGGCGGGACCGCCCTAAACATCAGGAGCAAGGGCTCGGCCTTCGCGAGCGTCCACTCCGGAGCCGCAGCCAACGGTAGGGGCTGCTGACTTCCTCAGCTCGATGCCTAAGCACAACGGACCTCGGACTTTATCGCCATTATTCTCGTGACTTTTTCAAATTTCGTGCTTTTCAATAGGACGTATTTCGCGACGTTGGATAGAGCCGCGAGATAAGCTCGAGTCGTCCGAGTTCCGGGGCGGGTGTGGGGGAGGCGCAAAGTCGCATCTACACGGGCATATAGACGAACTGGTGCATTCTCAAAAACTATTTTTAATCGGTTTTTACATTCAATGTTTTATACATTCAATTTTTGCAATCAATGGCTCTCGAGCTTTGAAAATTCAATTGGATTATTCGTTTTGTCCGCAGCAAAGGTAGTTGTATTTTTTTGAAATCGTACCCTCTTGAAAAATAAGATTAAATTTTGGAATTCTACTTTATAAATTGGAGATTAGTCGTACGTCGATAAGTAAAGACAATGACTCGTTATCTTAAAACTAATTGCCATCGGCATTATTTGAAATTTATTTGAAATAATAATAATAATAGCTTTGCATTTTCGAGAGTCCGAATCAATTATTCGTTTATTCAAGCCAAGGAAGCTAAGGAGAATATATTCGCGATTATTGCATTGCGAAACAATAAGCAAACAACATGATAGAATTCATAATCTTAAAATTGATTGCTCGTGAGATCAAAGATTATCCAATTTGTCGCGAACGACTATTAATTACTTGCCGCCATTTATCCGGGAAAATCCAAGCTAATTAAAGTCAAGAGCATAGAGGAATTAAGCAACGAGATTGTTACGCGTACGCTAATGACTGGGTATGAAGATTGAATCGACGAGCTCCTGACTCCCACAATGTTGCAGGTAAGGCGCAAAAGAATAGGTTTAGGACAAGGACAATCGAGAAGAACGTATTGGCAAACGTCGCGGTCAGCCGCTCTATCGAGGATGTCCACGTTGCATCCGAGGCTGTGAACGAGAGGCGAGCACGACTCGGAGCCCTCGACTCGGTTCTCGTGTCGCCGACGAGACTCATCACTCAGGTGCATCGCACCGAGGTCGACACGCGTAAGATCGCCGCCATTCTCAGGGAGCGATCTCCCCTCGAGCTTCAGCGACATCTTATCACCACGACCGTCCATAATCAGGTACGACCGTTCATTGTTTTCGTATGTCGACCGACGGCGAGACTCCCTTGTCTCTCTGTTAACTCTCTCTCTCTCTCTCTCTCTCTCTCTCTCTCTCTCTCTGCGATGCGCGAAGAAGACTTTGGTCCCGAGTTCAATCTCTAGTCCACTTCTGCTCCTAGAAATCCACTCATCCTGTCAATAATGTATAGCAATTTCCTCTTTAAACAACACCGATTGATTCTTAAATTCTACTCGATGCTTTTGTAATAATGCTATGACTTTGGTGGAGGGAGGGGGAGCAAGACGAGTGTTGAAACACTTGGTACTGCTTTATTCTTATCGAGATACAAATTATTATTAATACATTCATTAGTGTACGTAAATATTATTAGTTGCATTGTTATTATTTTGCCTATTCATTAATATGATATGTAATTTGCAGGTTCTTCAAAAACGAATAGATGAAGTAGAAAAAAGTAGTGAAACGCTCTCCGAACGATTAGGGAAAGCACACGAAGAAAATGAAGATTTACGTTTTCAAGTAAGTACTCGTCATTCGAAAATCGTTCTTTTCTTCTTTAATAATTTTACCAATTGTTGATGCGTTATCATCGTGATGTGCAAATCAGTGAATCGTATTTATCGAGGGTTTTTAACGATTATTCCAATACTATTGTAAAGTATATTATAATTATAACTGAAGTAACAAAGTAAACTATTTCATATTGTCCTCCCAAATTATAGCAATATATGTTCGGCGGGTGTAATATATCAACAAATTTATTACAAAAAAATAATAATAATAATAATAAAAGAGGGAGAAAAAATCTCTCAAAACTCTTAGAAAGTCAAGACTTAAATTTGAGAATAAGTTAAGTAGGGAGTTTTCTACATTACCGACAAGCCAATCAGACTTACAAAGGCAGAAGCAAAAGTAAATTGTAATTTCATGAAGGGCCTCGATGCGAGTAATCTCGCGCATAGCACGGGTGTTTTTAAAATAAAAATTATTCAATTGAGGCATTCGAGCGGGTCGTGCCACTTGCGATAATTACCGGTCGTGCATAAATAAAGGACGATTGGGCGAAAGAGAAGGAGGAGGAGGATGATGAGGAAGAGTTGGAGTTGGAGTAGGACGTTGGTAAGGTAGAGAACGTTTCGTAATGGAATATGTTAATCTGCTTTTTAACGTCGTTCTTTAATAGTTGGCGGAGCGAAACATCGAGCTTGAGGGGACGCGGGCGCGCGTCCGCGTTCTCGAGCGATTGCAGCAACGTCCGATCACGGAGAACGACGCGGACGACGAGTCCGAGCCACAGGGACAGCATCACGGGGTCCAGCAATGCTCGGAGCCCGGTGGCGCCAGCAGCAGCGGAAGCGGCAGCGGCAGCACTAGCGCGACGAGCCAGGGCGGTGGCCCCGAGGCCCAGCTCAAGCCCTCGCCACGAAGGCGTCCCAGCCGCATTCCCCTCCTGGGCGCGACAAAGAGCGCGGCCCCAAAGCCGCCCTCGGCGCCCACGGGACATCGGCGCAACGACAGCCGGGATTCGCTCAAGTCCCTCGGAGCCCAGCGGCCCAACGGCAATCCCTCCCTCGGCTCCGGGCGGCTCGGCTCGGCCCGGCTAGGTCGCGACTCCAGTCGCGAGTCCCTCGGCAAAAACAGTCTGCCCAGGGCCCAGGGCCAGCCAGCGGCCAATCGCTCGCTACATCGCAACGGTTCCGCCGGCAAGGATTCCCTCGGCCGCCAGCCGGCGAACGGCTCGCTTCCCCGACCGCGGGACTCGCTCGAGAGCGGCGCCGGGCCTCAGACGCCCGGGACGCCGCCACGGAGGCCACCCGCGCCCGCCCGGAGGTCCCAGAGCCAGGCGGCGAGGTCCGCCTCGGCGACTGTCGGTGACAGCGGCGCCGACACCGGCAAGGTACGCACCGTAAAGCAATTCTTTTGGACGACCTGGCTGAAGTGAGCTGCTGTGAGCGGAGGAGACGGGCCCGCGTCACCGCCTACCCGGACATGTCGGGCGTCCTTGCCAAGACCCACGACCACTCACGACGACCCACGACGATCCACGACTCGCGCGCGCGCGTACGTACGTACGTACGTACGCATCCGAGACTGTCCGAAGAGACAGTGTGCGATAGTCGGTGGGTAGGGGGTGTGCGGTTGGTTTGGGGAGGGGTGGGGGGTGGGGGGTGGTGGTGCGAAGGAGGAGTGGGAGGATTGTGAGGAGGAGGAGGAGGAGGAGGAGGACAAGACGCGTCGAAAGCAATGACATTCCTTACCGACAAACCGCGACGGGGGAGTCCGCGATCGCCTTATTTGCCTTGGCCCTCCGATTTTTCTACGATCTCGCTCCCACCCCCCACCCCCTCCCCCATCCCACCCCACACATTTTCTTTTTATATTTTTTAACGTATATTTTGTGACGCCGTGTGGCCGTAAACGCGCGTGGGGAGGCTCGAGCGACGCGGCCGACGTTCCCTCCCCTACTGGTACGCGCGTGTCCTTGAGCGCGCAAGGACGAAAGAAAAGGAAAGATGGTCGAGGATCCGCGCGACTCAACGCTGATTATTAATTACTTCGCTATAAATAACATCATAATCGTCAACCCTATTAATGTCATAAAATTTTAATATCGCGCGATCCTTTTGCATTGGGGCATTCGTCAAGATGGGACAAAGTGCGATCGTTTCGAGTCCGCCGCCATTCTCACTCACTCATTATCATACGTAAAAGCTCGACCGCGATGAAAAGACAATACAGTCAAAAGACAATTATAAAGGAATGACGACTGTCGAGACTCTAGGCACCGTACCACGACAACGCTCCCTCACACACAACGGTAAAACTAAACCAAAAAATGTATAAGCGAAAGCAAAAAAAAAATTTACCTTCACCCTCTGCGACATCTCTCTTGCTGCGCCAGTGTGAGATGAAATGAGGCAAAAGAGTCAGTCCGTCACCGTCGCTCCCCCCGAAAACTGGCCGTCTACTACACTTTTCACTAGAAAGTACACGAAAGGGCCGCTGAGTTTCACTCGCTCACGCGTTCTTCGTTCGCCTCTCGTAAGTTATGCTTCTTTTATTTATCATTTGCTTCAAAGGCGCTTCACTTTTTTTGGATATGACATTGGTGATATGAGACGCTGTTGAGCCCCTGCAATTTGATTGACACCTTTGCCTGTAGTGTAGTTGCAAAAACCGTATGCTGCACCAAACGTAGTTTTGCTGGTTCGTAGTTAAGTGGTATTTAATTAAGTGGTTACCGCTTTTTACGTAAAACTGTATTTATCTGCCAAATTACATTCAAATTTTCTTTTTTTATTTTTTCTTATATATTCTTTTTTTTTTCTTCTTTTCCCCATGTTTGTAAGTCTCGATTTACATCATAATATTGCATGTTGCACGCAAGCATTGTTATGCAGCTGGTTCCACCGACCGATAAACGAGACTTTCGAATTGATGAGGAGGAGACTTGGTGATGTGATGTCTTGGCTCGAGACGCAGAGTCAGCAATATCGCTCACTTTTTTTTATATAGTTTTGTTCTTGTTTTTTTTTTCCCCCCGTTTTTTTTCTTTTAATAAAGTTAGTCGATCGAATCGATTGAAGTGTATGCTTTTTTTCATAAATATTGCTTATTTGCGAATGCTTTTCATTGTATTTCTTGTACGTCGAACTCGAGACTCGAATGTTTAAACAACGTATTTCAACGGATTCGTTTATTATGCACAACGAAATTCATAATGATTGATTTACCTTTTGCACACTTATAAGCTTACACTATTAAGCCTATATATATATATATATATATATATATATTCCATTATAAATATTTTAAAATTTAGTTGATTTATTTTGGGAATGTTGCATCTCGGTTACTAAAGACAATCATCGAGTTGATTTATTTTGGGAATGTTGCATCTCGGTTACTAAAGACAACACAGAGTATTGATTTATCATTTTACTTTGGCTTAAAGTTTATTTTTATTTGTTTATTTTTGGTTACGTTAATTATTACGCAGGCAGGTTTGTATTATATTTTTTAAGCAATTTTGAAGTTTTGGGAATTAAATTTTTTCCATATTTATATACATATTGGATCAAATGTCATTACTAACTCTTTCAATTACAAAGTTGAATTACAAATTAATCGTAGTTAATGATTATGTTGACTTTACTCGAGTTAGTTAAAATTTATTCATCGTTCATTGTACTTTAAGATTTTTATTGCATAATACGTGTCTGTGCGACACGTAATGTTCGAATGGAAAACATGACGTAAAGACAAGGGACTCGTATGATAACTAAAATCTTTTCTTTTCCTTTTTTTTTCTCTCTTTAATTAATTCGATCAATGTCAACGAACATTACTCGAATCACAATTACATTTGGCAGTAAAATTAACTACGATTTCATGGAATGTTTGAGGGTAATAAAAAACTTGGCACGGCAGTGTGGGATTTGCATTATCACATTAGTAGTAGACTGTAGAGTAGTACTACTAGACATAAGTAAAAAATTTTATTTTATTTTATTTTTCTCCGTTCATTGAAAATTTGGCCAAAAGCATGCTCAGTAGCTGTTCGTTATTATACATTAAACGTCCTTCTTCATCTTCGCTTCATTGCGCTTGGAGCCACACCTATTTTCTATCACAGTATTATAAATGATTTGTAGGTGCTCGATCGTTTTGAGATTCAACAACGATTGCTCGAAATCAACATCATTGAGGCAGTTAGTGACGGATCCTGCGTCAATGTTGCAAGATTTCGATTTTATATTTGGGATGGCAATATACTTTGTGCAAAGTGGTGCATTCGCTTGCGGGCAGGGAAATTAAAAAAGAAAATTTGTTTATTCTTAAGATTAGAATACCCTAGGAAATGCCGCAGGACATAAATATGATTTCTATTGCATTTGCTATTTTAACAATTAAAAACTCATTAGCAACTATTTTTTCTTCCAGTAGAACAATGCACCGCTTCGACTAAAGTATTTAGAATTATTTATTGCACCTTATAATAATTTTCCTATATATATATATATATATTTTTTTTTTTTTTATATTTATGTCGCTTTATAATTTTGCCAAATTCTTAATTCAGTTTGCTAGATCGAAAGATTTCGAAGTATTTTGGATTTATGATTATATCTAGCCCGTGACCATTATATTTGGCACATTGATGTACGAAGATGGTGGTATCGATGATAAGAGTTTAATTGCTCTTTACCATTTATGCTTACTTGCTTGGTCTACGGTAATAAATTATATTCGTTTTTGCCCAGGGCTTCTGAATGTTATATTTTAAGATTCTGGTTAAGTAAGCTAAGCTATCCTTGCATTATTATTTTACTATGTATTTTACGTATTAATAATTGACTTCCTATGTAGCATTCAAGTAGATATGAAAAATTGAATATTATTCTATTTAGATGTTGTGAATGTATTAATAAATCCGTTAATTAAGGCACAGTTTGATGAATTGTCATTTATTCGATACTATATAGCGGAGTCGTCCTAGTCAATGGAATCGCGCGCGTACGGATGTGTGCTTGCGCGACGAAAGTTTCAAGCTTTAAATGCTCGGATTTATATATATATTTTGGGCTTTAGTGCATATTCGATGGAATAATTTTCAATTAAATGGAGAGCCTTGACGATATACATAAATCGTTGGATTAAAATTAATTCAACGTATCCTTGAGCATAAGTGCACTAAAGTATATCTATCCGGTGAGAGCTTTCCTTATAAATGACCAGATACAAAGCTGCTTACCTCGTAATTATTGCTTGCGGAAAGAAAATCCTCGATAATAAAGCCATCGATGTTTAGATGATATCATCCTGTACATAATGAGCATTTTATTATAGAAATTTTTCCTTAGCTATACGCTAGAAAGAAATCGCATGGGCAAATGTCATGCGCCAGGCTTGTCAAAGTCGCGGGCTAAACTCTAACTGACTTTTCCAGAGCATGCAATCCTCGAACCCGCCCAGTTCGTGGCTGTCGTCCGAGGTCTCCCTCTATCCGGACTCCCTCAACTCGATCGGCCATAAGGTCGCGAACGAGGATCGAGTGAGCGAGGAGGGGACTTCGAGGCGCGTGGAGTTCATCATCGGCTCGCCGACGCGCAAACGGCCGTTTATGGCGCCCTGGACGGTGTCGCTGTACTTCGATAGTATCGACACCGGAGGCACGCGCGAGAGCTTAGCCGACGAGGAGGATGAGAACGATAACGAGGACGACAACGAGGACGACAACGAGGACGACAACGAGGACGAGTATCCATCGAGGCAGGGCGAGGCGCTCGCCGATCGTGACTCCCTCGAGTGCGACGAGGGGCTCGCGAGCGACAGTTGATGCCGACGTGCGAGTTGCTCCGGACACGCGCCAACCTACGTCTCGCCATTGGTCCGCAAGCCTCGTAGCGAGTTTAGTCTGAAAAAATTGGAGCGCTGCTCCTCCCTTAACCGGACTGCCCATTGTGCGCGAACATTTTCTCTTCAAAGCGTCTTGAGGAGCTATTTATTTTTTTTACCTTTGTCTCCTTTAGTCCTGACTGACTGAAGCTCGACTCCATTGTAATTAGTCGGTGCGAGAGACGAGTTGCGTATGAATTCTTATGTAACGGCGTTGAATTGTCGATTATGCCAAGCCGGATAATCAGTCGAAGTTCTTGAGTTTTCGATGTATTTGGATTGACATTAATATTCTGCAGCAGCTCTGCATATTAAATTATAAATTTAAAATTATCATAAGCATATTCTTCTTCCCTGCTCTTTGTTGCAGTAAAATAATTATCTCTATGATCGATTCTTTAACGAACGTTAAATGTTAAAAAGTAACGCAATTTTTACGTTTTAATTAGTTTTTATGGTGCATTTGTAAGGAATCATCGTTACACTTTAAGAAGGTTATATCATAAAGTCTCCAAAAAAAAAAAAAAAAAAAAAAAAAAAAAAAAAAAAAACACAGAAAGAAAGAAAAAGAAAAAAAATGTTATTTTACGAGAAATTTTAATACGTATCATTTACAATTCATCTTAATATTGATTTCACGTAGGTTTAGCTATCAATTAATTCGAAAATGTAGAGGAATATGACTAATCGATACAATATTCATAATAATAATTTTATAAGAACCATTCAGTTTAAGAATCAATTACATAAAAATTTAATGTATAAAGACTATATGAAATGCTGGAATGAGTTATAATTTTTATACAAAAAATATAAAGATTATTAAACAATTGTGCGTTTCTTTATAAAAAATTGTAAGCTTATTGAATTTTACGTAATCCGCATTATTATTTTTTCGCGCGCGCACACACACATATACCAACAAATCTAATAACGTCCTAAGCTTAAATATTGTCTATTCTGTTTTAATATTTATTTTATATTATTTTTTTTTTTTTTTTTTTTTTTTTTTTTTTTTTTTTTTTTCTTTTTTTTGCCTACGATACTAAATAGTAACGACGTTAATCTTTTCTTATTTTCCAATAGTAATATTATCACATTCGTTTAGCGATTACAGCTAAAATTAAATTTTAAATAATTTCATAATTATATTAGAAAAATTGTATGAAAAAAATTAATTGAGAAATTATGGAAGAAATTAGTGGTGTGGCGTACGAGTTCTTAATGAAATCGTAATAAATTTTTTTTTTTTTTTAATATTTCATAGTCATCAAGATTCGAGTTTTTATTAGAATTAAAATATAATAGTACGAACATTATGAAAAGACGTATTCATGCATACATATTTTATACGCGTCGCGCGCGCGTGTGTGCGTTGCAGAATATATTTATATTCTTAGATTTATAAATATATTTTATTGTGTTTGTTTCTTCTTTTTTTTTTCTTTTTTCTTTTTTTTTTGATACAGATTTTAATTCAAAATTAAATATAAATTGCGTTAAATAATTCGTAGTTTAAACTATTCATGACATAATTAATAAATGTAAATTGATTCTTATTTTTTATATAATACAAAACCATTTACTCATATACATTCATATAGCTTGATGGCTCCTACAAGGCTTAAAAATTCAAATACGGACATATAATGTGCAATTTTTACGATGTTTAAATAAGAAACATTTAAATTTAATCTATTGATAGATCAGGATAAGCATGAATTATGTAAATATAGAAACGCTATAAATTATAAATCTGAACATCCGTGCCTAGAATCTCAATTCTGAAAGATTTTAAATTTTACGTACGCAAAAATATTTTCAAAAGCGCATTTATGATTGTATATTGTAACGACTATCAAAGAATTTGAAAGATAAAAAAAAAAGACTAGCAATGTTTTGTTGATGATCATATCTTTTTTCGTAAAGTGTTTAACTCAATCTTGTAGATAGTCTCAATCTCCGATCTTCCGTAAATATATTTTTTTACAAACATCTAGATACAATCTTCGAATTTCTCTACAATAAAGTCATAGCGAAGGTATTTTGTTCGGTAATGTTATTAATCCATTTTATACGGTTTAATATTTTCATTGGTGATAAAATAATTGTAAATAATATATTGAGATGTTATTTATCAATTTCTCTATCAATAACCAATACATTGTTGTAAAGAGGAAAAAAAATTACGTTTTATAAATTATCGGCAATAATGTAAATTTTCAATATATTGTATATTATAAATATTGAAAATCATTTATAAATTCTTTTTACGAAAATATAATACAAGAACTAATTATTCCATCATACTAGCCAGTCTCGGTATCGTTAATTTTATTGATGTATTTTTGGTGTATTTTGCGATCGTCGTATGTCTAAATTTAATAATCTTATGTCTTAATACATATGTTATGGCTTAATTAATCAAGAGAAAGGCCAATTTACAGGACAAATGTTTTTATAAGAGCTTAAATATTACTACGTTACCATAAAATCGAATATATAGTCGATATTTTAAGGTTTATTTTTCATTCGCCGTAAAGGATGAGAAATGGAAAAATTAATTAGGTCATTTATTTTCTCGATCGTCTGTCAATTAAACGTCTTTCAATGTGTTATATTTTAATCGGTTAATCCGTTCAAATTTTTATTATTGAGATCGTTTAAGTTAACCGTCGTCATAATCTTTCAATTTATGACGCAATAAGGATTCGTCTTTCTTTCATTAGTTCGTTAAAATTCATTATTTTATAACAAAAATTGTTGTAGCTGGATGTTGCAGAGAATAAAGAGAAATATAAACTGCATAATCTTGAAATTTACATAGAAATTTAATATTGGTTGCTTGATATAGATTTTATGGGGGATAAAAAAAAAAAAAAAAAGACAAGAAAATAGATAGAGACAAGTTTATACTTTTATATTCATAATTAATTGGATTTTGTTTCGTAAAGCCCGTTAAAATTGTATAAATAGATTAATTTCTAATATATTGTATATTTTATAGATAACTTTTTTTTTATGTACATTGACTTATATCTTCTATTTCGAGTAGTAATTCAAGAATGAGTTTGTGTTGCAAACTTTGCATTACTTGGAGTACTCAAATATTTTCTCACATATAATTGTATATTTTGAGCGAATAATACCGTTAAAATTTATCAATAAATATTACTCATCAAGACTTATGTTAACACTAAAATATGTAATTTTTACGTAGTAGTACAGAAAAAATACTGGATTATTTTTATTCATTCCGTAGCTTGCATTTTTTAAACTCTTGTAACGAAGTTGTGCACCTTACCGTGCATTTTTAAAGGAATAATTTTATTTTAATCATCGTTTTCACGAAGAAAATTTTATTATAGTTTTTTATTTACATATTAAGTTTATTGTACAATTTGATGAGATGTTTGTCCTTATTTCTTAAGTATTACGCTCGGTTACATTAAACGGCTTTAGTTATTGTTTTAAAGTGTAAGAGAGAAAGCTATCGAAACATTGTAAATTCTCTAGATTACAAATCTAGAATACAAATTGTATATAAAATCCTAATGGAGTATGTGAAAAATAACGTTAAGAAAATCATTTTGAATGGAAAAAAATGTTTAAATTAAAAATTCCATTACATAATATTTATTTAAAAAAAAAAAAAAAAAAAAAAAAAAAACCACAATAATAATAATAATGATGATGATGATTATTATTATTAATGGCGTATTTGTTGCTGCATTAGTTTATTGGCTAAAATAAAAATTGTTAATTTTCCAGGTGTATAGACGTTAAAATGTTCTCATTTTATAGAAATAAATCGTACGATTCTCCTGTATTATTACATCAATACATAATTATTGATAGTTTGTACTGGTTGCATAGAAAATTTTGTAATGTAATATCGATACTTATTTTTTTTTTTTTTTTTTTTTTTTTTTTTTTTTTTTCTCTCTAGATATAAATTTAAGTTTATGATATTAAACCCAAATTTATTTTGTCTCTTCAGAATCCCACATATCATAAGAGATCGACACTCGGTTTGTTCTTATCGAAGTCCGAGATGGTCATACAAGTGATCAATCAAGTTTACAGTCATTAATTTATAAATCAGCGAGAATAGACTTAGACAAGTACTTTTTACTTATTCATCAATTGCTCGTAAAATGAAAAGAAAAAACTTTTATATAAACATTGTATCGAAATCTTTTACAATCGCTAACGTTAATTCATAATGACAGATTATGTAGATCAATATTGTCACTGTTATTTATTTATTTATAAGCTTAGCGTAGAATCGTTTTCACTTCTCTCTTTTTTTAATTTAACAAATTCAATCCCCCAAGATTATGTATCATTGCTCCTAATTATTAAAATAAACGTAAATTTGGAGATCTTTGAATGATAAGTGAACGAACATAATAACGACATTTGTCAATTTGGCATAATTTTATTCGATCATGTACAATTCAATTGCATGGTTGCTCATTGTAACCGACACTATTATTCATGTATGAGAAAAGGAGGTGCATGAATGAGACGATGATTGTCGATGCGAATGATTGAAAAATGCGAGCAATCACATAATGTGATCTTAGTTTTAAATACATGCGAATATGTGATTAATCGCTCATAATTTAATAGGACTGAAGGACTTTCTTATTGTTGTCCAAACTTTCAAATTAGACGATTTTTTATTACTATGAGAATTAATTATAAAACGCGGCTTAGAGTTTCATTTTAGCAAACCTCAAGCTTAAGTCAACGATTTAACAATTATATTACAATTTAGCATCATTTTGTACAAAAATAATAGAAATATTGTTATTTAAGATCGTCTAATTTGACGAGTTTTTGCTTTAACGCCTCGATAATATTGTTGCTGCATACAATCGCCACGTAAAAGCTATATCTTTTACTTAAAAATGTTTTTACGTCTCGTTTATATCA